GGTTGAGCTATAGGCGCCGAGCCATCTGTCATATTTTAACTTAGCTAAATGCAAATCTTTCCTGAGGCTAATAATTCATTTAAATCAGGTATTAATAGTTTCAAGTATACAATCTAAAATTTATACTGATTTATTTTTTACTCTACACTATTTTATCCATATTAATGTTTTATGTCCTATCATTTAGGGCAAGAGACAAGAGCATGATAGATGCCTTTATGCCTTTGTTTGTGGTTCAGAAGTAAATACAATGCTTTTTTCTTTTTATTTCCATCCAGTAATTGGACCATTCTCCCGTTCCTTAAAACCAACTTGTCATGACACAAGTTCCCGTGGTATTAAAATCCAATCAGTGCATCTATATTTTACTAAGAGCTCTAAAGCTTTATTTATTTGGATATTGGCCTAAAATTATTACAACAAAAATTTTACAGTAACATAACACTGACTAAAATAAGATTACAAGGAATAAAAAACAAAACTGTGCATGTGGGGATGTTTTTCTAACAGCACGGCCATCTTGCTTCATTAGTATTGCATAGTGGTTAAACCCACTGTCTTTGGCAAAAAACTCAGCAGGTACAAATCTCCATTTTGCACCTAAGTAGGGTGTGAGTTTAGGCAAATCACTCCACTTCTCTGTGTCTATGTCCTCCTTGTCTTTACAATGAAAGTGATAACACTCTGGTATCTCTTCAAAGCACATAAATCTTTCGCCTTTTATGAAAGATTTCTGTGGAGAGGTACAACCAAAGTGACAGTCCTGCTTGCACCATGGATTTGTAGAAAAAAGAAGCCAGCACACATCTAACCATCATGGCAGTGGTTCACCTGTTATAAGTGTTCTTCTTTACATATTCAACTTTTTTCTTTTCTTTTCTTCTCTTCTTCTTCTTCTTTTTTTTTTTTGAAACAAGTGTCTCACTCCTTGGCCCCCTTGGTAGAGTGCTGTGGTGTCATCATAGGTCACAATAACCTGAAACTCCTGAGTTCAAGAGATCCTCCTGCCTCGGCCTCCCGAGCAGCTGGGACTACAGGTGCCCATTACAATGCCCGGCTAGTTTTTCTATTTTTAGTAGAGAAGGGATCTCATTCTTGCTTAGACTGGTCTCCAACTTGTTAGCTCAAGCAATCCACCCACCTTGGCCTCCCACAGTGCTAGGATTACAGGCATGAGCCACTGAGCTTGGCCACACATTCAACACCTGGAAGCCTCTTAATAAAACAACAACTTTAAATATTTCTTAGGGCAAATCAATGGTAAGTGGAGAATACTGGGTTTCACTTGATGCTATAAATGTAGCTCATGCCTCATATTTCCATGCAGGGTCTTCTGGCTCTGAAGAGAAGTATCAGTGATCGGGAACTGGCAGAATGGCCTCCAGAGATGTGGCTATGGGAGTGGTCTGCTTATCACAGATGGTGGGTGGAGTCTTGGGGAACTTCTCTCTTCTCTACCATTACTTCTTCCTTTACTTCACTGGGCACAGGTTGAGGCCCACAGATTTGATCATCAAGCATCTGATTGCAGCCAATTCCTTAACCCTCCTCTCAAAAGGAGTCCCCGAGACAATGGCAGCTTTGGGGTTGAGACCTTTCCTCAATGATATCGGATGCAAACTTGTCTTCTATATCCACAGGGTGGGCAGGGGTGTGTCCATCAGCACGACCTGCCTCCTGAGTGTCTTCCAGGTGATCACAATCAGCCCCAGGACCTCCAAGTGGGCAAAGCTGAAGAAGGCGGCCAAGCATGTGGGCTTGTCTACTCTCCTGTGCTGGATCCTCTATACGCTGATAAGTGTCATTGTCCCTATGTACACGACTGCCAAAGGGAGTAAGACCAACATCACAACCAGAAAGGATTTGGGATTCTGTTCTGGAGCAGGTGTTAACAAAAGCACGCTATCACTGTGTGTGGTGCTTTTATCACTCCCTGATGTGTTCTGCTTGGGCCTCATGCTCTGGGCCAGTGGCTCCATGATCTTCATCCTGTTCAGGCATAAACAGCAGGTCCAATACATCCGTAAGAACAATCTTTCCCCCAGATCCTCCCCTGAGTCCAGGGCCACCTGGAGCATCCTTGTCCTTGTGAGCACCTTTGTGTCTTCTTACATCCTCTCCTGCCTTTTTCATTTTTATATTGCTCTTCTTGATAATCCCAGTATTTTGCTGGTGAACACTGCAACCTTAATCACTGTGTGTTTCCCCACTGCCTGCCCGTTTATTCTCATGAGCCGCAAGTCCAGTGAAGCCGGGCTTTGCTTTGCCTGGATAAAAATCACAAAGTCCCCTAAACTCATCATGAACCTGTAAATTGTATATTTTGCACACTGACCAATTGCTTCTTCACTCATCCCTGTAGGATTGTATAAATATAATTTTGAAATGATCACAGTCAGGAGACACCGATGAAGGGGAAAGAGTGAACTTCCATCCCAATAATAAAACAATTGCAAATGAAACATGAAATTATTACGTAAATACTAACATCACATTTTTTTAGTGCGTGCAGTAGAGTAGTTACTACATGCTACAGAGTAGTTACTACATCCCCTGGGCGGGGATGTAGCGAAGACAAGTGTTCTGATAGGGCAACCCTCAGAGGCAGCTGGGTCGGATGGTTGAGAAGTTTTATTTTTTTGGCTCTTTACCTTAAGTACTTGGCTTTCTGATTCTCCTTGTAGTTGCCAACAACCAGACTGTTCCAGAGGCTGGGCAGTCTTTAATTCTGCTCATGCATACAATCAAGTTTTTAACCCTACAGTCTGGCCACTTTCAGTCCTTCCTCATTGAAAGTCCCTCCTCCTGGCTCGGCGCCTGTGGCTCAAGCGGCTAAGGCGCCAGCCACATACACCTAAGGTGGCGGGTTCGAATCCCCAGCCCGGACCCGCCAAACAACAAT